AGAAGGTTGCCTACGTCGAGAGATTAAAATAAAAACGTAGAACTGAAACGAAACGAAAAGACGGAAAAGGGGGGAGGAGGAGAAGAGAGAGAGAAAAGGTGCGTCGGGAAATCAAAAGAAAAACGTAGAAGTGGGACGAAACAAAAAGACGGAGGAGTAAGGTGCCGTCGGGTTGCTTGATTAATTTTGCCCTGTGTCCCTGGCTGGCCAGGAAAGCCCTCACTTGAGCGCACCTCGCGGGGCCCCACAGGCTGCCAAACAACATTCATAATGCATTGCTCAGTGTACTGTACCCGCCCGGCCAGTGTGAGCGTCGCTTTTCTTCTTCATCTTGTCTTGGGCTCCAAGTTGTGTCCGGGCCATCATAGACGTGGGGATCTGGATAGAGAGTGCAGTGTGGGTGGTTGGCTGGCGGGTGCTCTGGTGTGGTTTGCTTCTTTTTTCCTACCAAACACCTATCGTCTTGATCCCTCCTCCTTCTTTTTTGTGTTTATTACTCTCTTGTAACTCCTCTAATCTTGGGCACTTACATTACCTCATTGTGTTGCAAGTGCCGTAAAACTCTTACTAGAATCTAAACCTAAAGAGAGTGCAGTTGTGATGTTTGTGTTGTGCTTACCGTCTCACTTCAGCAAAGGAGTTTATTTGAAAGGTTGGGTATATTTTTTTTAAATCACTAAGTTTGATAATATATTCTTTGGTTTATTTTGAAAAAAAGAGAAGTGCATAGATCCACTTAACGGTTTTTTAGTCCAGAGAAAGGGTAAGACAGACAGATACAACCGAAGCAAAAAGAAGAAATATAGTAAGACGTGGCGCCCTCAACCCACAGGCAGTTAAATTTTCTGCAAACATATTTCGACTAGCCTTGAAACCTCCCCGCCCCTCCCCCACTGCCCTCGAACCTCACTCTTTCCATCCACTCTTTTCGTCTTGATTCTGAGAATGGAGAATCATTCAAAGCAGCAGGTGAAACAATAATATTATGAAAAGCGAACTTTACTGGCTTCCTTCCTTCATCCCTTGCGCCATCTGTCTCTGTTCCAAGCTCTATGTCCAGACATGTGTCAGCTGTTCAAAACTCCAGGCGCTATTGTCCGTCGTTTTCTTTGTTTGGTGGTGGGGGAGACAGGAACAGGCTGGTTCCAAGTTCTTCTGCCTTGTTCCAGCTAATAGTGCGCAGCAAAGACTTGTATGTGCGTCTTATCTATTTACATGTGTATGTAACATATGTGTTTGTGTTTGCACATCCCGCCTCCCATGTCTCTCTCTCTCTC